GATTAATGATGAACCAATGATATTTTGACAGTGGGATTAATGATGAACCAATGATATTTTGACAGTGGGATTAATGATGAACCAATGATATTTTGACAGTGGGATTAATGATCAACCAAAATATATTTTGACAGTGAGATTAATGATGAACCAGTGTTATTTTGACAGTGAGATTAATGATGAACTAATGATATTTTGACAGTGGGAAAGCTGAAGCAGACACGAGTGCTAAAGATGAACATCTCACCAAAGATCTGTCGTGTTCTCTGGGATTAGTACCTCACCAGGTAGGAAGGACATAGCTAAAAATTACAATTGTTAACTTCTAGGATGCTTTAATCTACCACATGTTGACTCCGAGATCGATTTGTCAACATCATGAACATGTTTCTGATTATTTCTTGTATCAAATATTTCAATGGTATTTTTTCTATCTAATATCTTGATGCTGTTTTTGCCCAAGGGTTTTTGTTTGCTTTGATACAACAGTATGGAGTGATGTCAAAGTAAAAAATATATACTGGTATTCCTTTGTGATGTCAGGGGTTCAAGACAGCCTAAACAAATAGAAAATCTAGCACTGGGATTTTGAATATTTTACCAGATTTCTTGGCAGAGGTAGAAGAGTGTGCAGGCTGTCTTATAGTATGGTAGCACATAAGGTTTGTTGTTTAATACGCCAACATACTGCCTCCAGCACACACACATCAAAACATACATAACACACATGGTAGGGGCATGCCCTTAACTCATTCACCCCTGAAGACACATTTGAACTCTTCCAATTCAAATGTTGGAATAGTTCATTATGAAATTATGACCTTCTGTTAATAGGACGCTAAACCTGATAAACCGAATCAAACCAAATTAATAAGCTTACTTTTTGCGAATTCAATACTAATGAAATTTCGGTGTAAATGATGTGACTATGTATAACTTGTTGTTATATTTTTCGAAACTGATTTGTGCTTTGTGTTTTTCCCAGATCCGTTGTTTCCTGTCTAGGTATAATCAGCTACTACCAGCATGTAGAGCGTTTGACAAATGTAGCGCCTGCTCCAATACGGTCAGTACCTCACTCTCAGGGAAACCAGACAAAGAAATCGTTACTAGATAAAAAAAAAAACTACTTCAAAATTATTTCCCTGGTAACAAATACTTTTCCAAGTGTTGATATTTTTAACACTTGGTATTCTGATATGAGAATTTAGATATGTTACATAATTGTTTAAAATTTTGTGCTGGTGAAATGTTTGGCTGTAAAAGCTGAAGAAAAACTGCTACTCACATCTTTTGTGAAATGATTTTTTTACTAAGATATATGTTAACCTTTTAAGACTGGACACTTCAATTTAATTCATTTTATGTGAAGAAAGCTATGTTCCAATTCAAAAAAGGATTGTCCCAAAATCAGCAATTCCTGAATATAGGCAAGTTATATCTCTAGGAATACAGAAAACATTTATACTTTAAGTCCTTGTTTCCTTAATATATCATGTGTTTCATTAATTGGATTCAACCTTTGACCTTTGTGCAGGTTGTGAATGCTTACAAGAAGGATGGTATAGAATTTCTGCTCCGGGTATTTAATGAGCCGAGCAGTTACCTAGAGGACATCACTGGTCTCACACAGATGCACCAGGAAACCCTCGACACAGAGGTATATACACCCTGCTAGTTTTACCCCTGTTAACACAGGTAGATACACCCTGCTAGTTTTACACCTGTTAACACAGGTAGATACACCCTCTTGGTTTTACACCTGTTTACACAGGTAGATACACCCTCCTAGTTTTACACCTGTTAACACAGGTAGATACACTCCCTAGTTTTACACCTGTTTACACAGATAGATACACCCTCCTAGTTTTACACCTGTTTACACAGGTAGATACACCTTCCTAGTTTTACACCTGTTTACACAGGTAGATACACCCTCCTAGCTTACACCTGTTTACACAGGTAGATACAGTATGTAGAACTTTATACACAGGTAAATGTACAAACACCTTTATATATAGAAACTCATGCACATCAGGTATATACATGTAGATCTAGATGTGTAATATATGGCAGCAGAAAAATGCATGCCATACTGGGGTTCTACTGATCGTCCACACTGTAGATGGAAGCTCTACTGATTGAGCTACCTGGTTGCTGACGATCGACCCAGTCCAGCTCCACTTCAGATGAACACATGTATTGCCTGATTAGGTAGGATATTTGTAGTACCGTGTGCTATACCAGCTGTCTGATACTCTATGATATGAAACATTCATACGTGAATTCTTTCTTAGTGTATGATTAATTAAATTGCTATAGATATTGTAGTCCACTGGTACTCCTGAACTGGAGCTACTTTTCCCTGTTATGGTATGTGTTCTAGAGGGTCTAGAACCTGACATAGACACACTAACCAACAATTTTAACATCCGAAACCACAAAAATTAAAACTGTGAAATGTTCATATTACACAGGATATTGTATCATTTGAAGCATAAAGGTGTTTTATGATTGTGTGTTTCTACCCAAAATATCAAATATGTGAGGAAGTTCAGTTCCGAGATGTCTTGATAATGCTGGCTTAGTCACAGCTGTACATACCATTGTCACAGAAGTAGATGTTCACCAACCCAGTAGACTGGGAAAGTCTAATTGATATTAACAACTCTTTTGTTTGTGTTTCTTCAGATTCTGGATTTCAGTGATGACGATGACAGTTTTATGGACATGTCATGACAAAAGCCATTCATCAACAGAAGATAATTATCCAATCTATACTCTAGAGAGGTACAAAATCAGATGGGACTCTAGGATCAATCGTTAGGTGTTTTATACAACATCAGATGGTAGGACCAATCAGTAGAGCTGTTTTATACAACATCAGATGGGAAGACCAATCAGTAGAGCTGTTTTATACAACATCAGATTGGAAGACCAATCAGTAGAGGTGTTTTATACAACATCAGATGGGAGGACCAATCAATAGAGGTGTTTTATACAACATCAGATAGGAGGGCCAATCAGTAGAGGTGTTTTATACGTCAGATTGGAGGGCCAATCATTAGAGGTGTTTTATACAACATCAGATTGGAGGGCCAATCATTAGAGGTGTTTTATACAATGTCAGATTGGAGGGCCAATCATTAGAGGTGTTTTATACAACGTCAGATTGGAGGGCCAATCATTAGAGGTGTTTTATACAACGTCAGATTGGAGGACCAATCAATAGAGGTGTTTTATACAACGTCAGATGGGAAGACCATTCAATAGAGGTGTTTTATACAACATCAGATGGGAGGCCAATCCTTTGAGGTGTTTTATACAACATCAGATGGGAGGACCATTCAATAGAGGTGTTTTATACAACATCAGATTGGACGACCAATCAATAGAGGTGTTTTATACAACATCAATGGGGAGAACCAATCAACAGGGATGTTTTATCAGACTGTTGGGACATTGAAGATGTAACTCTGGTGGACCAAATGTGGCTCCAATATTGTGATATTGATTGTGACATTACCTATAGCTATACTATTTTAATTTTTAAATTCAAGTCAGGTTGAGCACATATCATTACAAGCAACACAACTGTTTTGTCTAATGTATTGACTTCAAGATTATCAATCCAGATTTGCATAAATCTTCAGGTTCAGAAGTATATAAAGATACCAAATCCATAGATATACCGTGCTGAATAACAGCTGAATACTATAATGTCAGTTCTAATGTTAGGTTACTGTGAAAGTGGAAAATAGCTTCAATTTATCAGTGTGAAACTGTCTAGTGTTTGCAGCAATATCTTTATTAGTTTGTCAGTGTTCACCTGTATGCCTATTTATGATTTAACAAAAAAAAAAACTTTTCAAAAATTTGATAAGTCATACCAGTGTTGTGAAAACTATTAGCAAATATCTACTTGATAGGGATGGTAGGTGATGCTTTGATGTAAATGTCTTACAAATCTTTGTCAAATTGTCTACTCTTATACCTCACTAAAGTCTGGAAACTGTCGTTGTGCTATATAATAAAAATTGTCATTTGATTATTAATTTGTTGATATTTCAGAATGATGAGTGAATTACAAGGTCACATCATCATTTAAAGTGTTAGTTTAGGGACTGCTGTGAACCGATTGTCTTATCAGGTATACAATACCAGTTCATTTGGGTGGTGAAGCAAGTCATTTGTCCGCTTTGTTTGCCTACACCTTATTTAGACCTGATGGATGTTTGTTTTGGGGGTATGTTAACTACAAAAAATTCTTAAACTTTAAAAAATAATTAGACATGGCTGCAGAAGTGTGACAGGAATGACTCACTGTGCGTAGGTTATAATACTACATTCTCAGACATGCTAAATCAACTCGAGCCATACAGTATACAATCCCGATTACGTAAAACTTCAACTAGGTTAAAACACTAATACTGGTACCGAAATTAAAGACGATAGCGTTTCCAAACCCCGAGATGTGAACATGGTTCTATCCATGGCCCTTTTGATGCTGTTCCTATAATTTGATGTTGATGGCATACGCACTTGCCAACTTTTGGAGATTTCCACAGGGGAGATTCTGCATGATCAAAAGTAAAACATAAATAAATGTGTGTACCTGGTAGATACCCCCTACACACAAAGTAACCCTTTAATTTATATGACATAGTATGATTTGTTCTTTCAGATGAAATCATTAGATCTTAGAATATAGGGATAGCTTAGCAAACTAACTAGTTGAGAGTACATTTAGTTAATTCAAGGGTCTAAAATCGGGAGTCTCCCTCCTAAATAGGGAGAGTTGGCGGGTATGGGCATATAAGTACTGAATTGGGACCTAACGCGGTAAAGTACGGACAGGTCCATGTGTACAACACATACACTGACCCTACTTTGTATTGTAGACAGTACATGTACATAGATATGTGTTTTCCTTATTTAATCATTTCACTTTAACCAAAAGCTCAAATGAGATTTGCCATTACGATAATTTGTCTGTATGTAACTGTTTGATGTTTTTGATATGGGACTGAATATGATCAAAATTCAGGTCGTAAAGGGTAGGAAAGAAGGAAAGGAATATTGATAAAACAAAAATTCCACTCAGCCTTGATTGGATCTCATCTCATTCACCCTTGCACATATGGCAGCCTCCCAAAACACACACGCATACACTACACACATGCATCTCGCACACAGGGGAGGCCGTCCTTTAATGACCATAACTGTTGAGAGGACATTAAACAATACTAAACCAAACTAAACCAATCACCCCTGCAGACACATTTGAACTCCTCCAATTCAAAGCTTAGAATAGTTCATTATGCAATTTCAGGGGTGAATGAGTTATTTAGATTTTCTTGATATCAATATATTTTAATGGAATACAGCTGTCCTTCACACCGTCAAACAATACCCCTCTCCATGTCGTTGTTGTAAAGGGAGATAACTTAGCACAATTCACAGGTAGAGGTATGATTTGTAAGGAATAACCTTTGAGGTTTATTACCTGAATAAATATTCTCCCAGATTGGTATTTTTAAACAGTACTTTAAAATTAAATCTTCGCATTTTCCTGAACCTGCATGGGCAGTCTTTGTCAAAATCCAAAAAACATATTCCATATCGCTGATTTGGAATTTTAAGCATCATTGAAAAAACTGTCAAAATTGTACCAATTGGGGTAAGGTCATGTTAACTGACAAAGGATAAAAGATCAAAGAAACACAACACTCAAACGTATATAACAGTTATTCTTCCATCTTTATTCATATATACAATAGGTATTCAACATTTAAAACCAATTATTTTTTTCCATTCTATTGACATTAAAGCATCTCATTCTTAGGTGAAGGAATATATATATATATATATATCAAATGTGTTCTAAATGGATTTATGTATAAAAATTGTAGATAAAACAAAACACAATATATTTGGTGAACTCATGTTAATAAGGTATATTTGTATATACTTGGATTTCTCGAATGAGCACAAGTTATGTTACTTTGAGCAAGCAGCATGATGAATTAAGATACATGGTGTGCATTGCAAGAATGTTGTAAAGAAAATATAGGCAACAATTTCTATCAAATATAACTAACATTGAAATTAATTTTTTATATTTATAGTAAAACTACAATCATTAAAAAAATCCTGATACTCTTCAACAACAAAATTCAATCTTACATTTAAAAGAAAAATAACATCTAAAAAAAACCACTGACACATCACTGTCAATTTTTGAAACATACATTTTCTACTGCTTCCTGCTTCAGAACTTATAAAAGTAAGTATTATGATTCAATTTGCTTGAAGACCTTTATAATTTGTGTGCAATTCAGATTTGTTATGTCCAAGTTTGTATTTGACCTGTCGCACATTAATGAGCTTCTTTAGATATCTTAACAAATTTATACGATCAATACCAGAAATAAAAAGTTGTAAAGAACATTCAAAAATTTAATTAATAAACAACATCACAATTACATTGGAAATAAGTATATCATATATTATGTCTAGATTAGTATATTTTAAATACAAAATGTAGGTAAATTGTTGCTGATAAGTTGCTGTCATTCTGAATATTGAGGGTAACACTACATAAATTGCCACACCTTGAAAACTGTTAACTTGCTGTTCACTGTTCCCTCCTTACAATGGATACGATAAAACTGAGACGAACTGCCACTAAAACGACAGTCATCAGGCTCAATCCTCCGTTACTGTTAATTAACTTATACTGTCAGTCACAATTAAGTCACCTCTCCCGATCAGATGCTGGTTCAGTATATTCTAAAACATGCACTTCCACAAAAAATATGAATTTGTTATGAAAATGGAAATCTTTAAGGTCTGAAGAACACAGAACCTGCGCAGGGAGTGCTATATACATAAGGAATCTATCTACGCAAGGAATGCATGTGTATTTTACAATATCCTCTCTGAAAGATTTGTACCTAGACAATGCTACAGGTTAACTTCCCTTCAGAAAATTTCTACTACTTGAGAAATCCCCGATAGAGACTTTAGGAATATAAGGATATTTATTTTACATTCATGTCTAAGTTAAAGTTCAGTCTATTGTTTTATTTCAAATTTACAGGTAATATATTAAAACCGTTTTAAGGTGTACCTACTATCAATAACTTGTAAAACCTTGGAGATGGTTTCAGTTAACACACTTGTTCAAACCGTATGGTGTGGAATTCTTGTTATTTCTTAATGACATGCCACGAAAACATTCGTCTACTCTCAACTTCAAATTTAAAACCGAACAATTATCTTATGAAACATTGCATATGAAAATTATAATCATATCCATTTTTTTCTTTGTCATTACACAAAAAATATATTCAAAATTCAAATTGTTATAGAATTAAAAAAGTGAATTAAATGTTTTTATTAAAAAAAGTAAATTCAAAATATCATTAACAGTTTGGTTGAATATCCCCACCACTGAAAATTCCATACTTAGCATTCATAAGCAATCACTATATGGAATGAGATAAGGATCTGATTAGCCAATCCGCATAAAGATTGAATTAGCCAATCAGCATAAAGATTGAATCAGCCAACCAATAAAATGATTAGGACAGCCAATCAGCTAGCAAGGTGATACCTCATGTAAAACAGTGCTACACAATAACACAAATAATCACTGGTCTCAAGCTGGGTCTAGGAATATTTTTGCAGAATTAATCCAGATATCTATTCATTCACAAATAAAACAGTCATAAAAATGCCTCTGTCAACACACACCAATTACCATTATGCTTTTATTCAACTGCAGATTATTTTGGTAACTTTGAGTTCATGCTGAATAAAAAAGTAAAAAAAAAAATCGTGAATAAACATGTCAAATTAGAAGAAAATGTGAAAATTTGTCAAATATGCAAAACAGCAATCAGCTATGAAAAATACAAAAACAAGTAATATCTGTTAAACTTGGTAAGGATTTATCAACTGGACTTGTTTCATATAGAATTTTTTTTAAAATTAAATAGAATCTATGATAAAATGGAACATTTTCAAATAAAAAAAAACGTCATAAAAAGTTAAAAATATCTCTCACAAATATACCACAGATTATCTAAGATAATGATGATAATTTCAGAAAAAGATAAAACATTGCTTTAAACATTACTTATTTCAGAGTATATATATACACTGTTTCAGAATATACCAGATTATAGTAAATTCTGTATCGCATGATAATACACATAAAATGTAATGGGAACGGGCTGTTACACTTAAAACTTGACCTTTTAACGACCTTGAATTGTGTGTAACATTGAAATGATGACCTAAAGGAAATGCATTAATTATATATCCTGAAACAACCCCTATATAACATTATATATTGGATAACATAATTATGTTGTCACAGGTGTGATATACTTCATATAACAGAACAAGTTGATTGTTGGTGCTATTGGGCATAACGGTACAATCAGGTCTGCGGTAGTTGACTGCTCTTTGAAAAGCAAGTTAATGATGTAAAATGTTGACACAGTATCTCACCAAGTGTTCTTTCTGAAATCAGACTTAATGGTAAACATATGAGTATATATGTAAGTTGTCATCTTGTCACTTGGTATCAAATACAAGCCATTTCTTGGATCAGCTTACAACTAGAATACATTGATGTATTGATTGTATTGATTTGTTGAAGCTCTCCTGTTTATGAAGGTAGTAAATGAGCATAGTTACTTTTCTTTTAGTTGTCAAGGGAACAAATTACTTATTTCTCATTGCCAGGTTCCCTTTAGTTGTCATGACACACATTTCTTCAGTTATCGATTAGTCTCCTGGTACCATAGGGACCATAGTGTTGTATGTTCCTGTCATGTTGACAGGCGACCACTAATTTAAAGTGTTTGTTGGTCACTCGGGAATCACTTCAGTTACCATAGCTACAGCAGATGATATCAACCACGAATCACGGGACATAAGATATTGCAATATTCTTCTTCAAATCTCAAACATCAGAAAACACTCTAGGAACACTTCCATATATCTTAAGTCCAACTATCGCCTTCAAAACACATTTTCACATCATTGATTGGTGAAAGGCAATGGCTTCAAACAAAACCAAGCTTCACCAGGAAACCGCTGTATGGTAAAAACCAGAACAGGGATCTTAAGGATACAAATCGATCAAGAATCTCAATATTTTCATTCAAACTGTCGTCATAGAATCACATTGTAATAAGTCTGTATGATTAGTTCCTCCATTATTCAGTGATATGAATGTTAAATGATTATTCCCAGGTCCAGAATTAATCCTAGAGAATGCTGCCCTCACAAAGCCGATGAGCTCGTGAAACTGAAACCTGTGAACACACGTTGATCCATGGTCTTTATTAGGTCCTTGTCTGGAGGAGTCAGATTTGGCTTCTCGGCGGTAAAGTCGGAGTCAAAGTTTGAGAAATCGCTATCGCTTTTCTGAAAAGTAAAAACATTTTTAAGTCAAACATTTAATGATGAAAAAAGTGTGAAATTATATTTGTCTAATTATTTATTCAGTATGAATAGAGGATCTGTCATAAGTTTCCCTTCATATCAGATTTATGATACAAGTTTTGGTTCTTTCATGTTTGCGAGCCTCTGGCGAGGAAATATGAAAAATCCAAAGCGAGTTTCATCAATCTAATATAAAGGGAAACGAATGACAGATTCTTTTTATCATATAATACAAAGTAAACTGTATAACTGTGATCTGAAACAAATATTTTGCACTTGGCCGCCTCTGAAACAATGAAAATTGCGTCGGCTGATCACCATCACGTGACATCACACAGATTGTTCTTATTCGATTGTGATGTGATTTCCGCAGTCATATTACACATGTTACATGAACATAATTTATGTGATGGCTTTATGACACTGCATAACAAGGTATTCATATGATAAAGTGATTTAATGTTAGTAAACTTACGATCTTTGGTCTGAACGGTGGTTCCACTTGTCTGCCCTCCATGCGTTCCCAATCGATGTTTTTGAAGAATGGCTGTGATTTTATTGGCCCAGAGGTACAGCCAGGCATGCCCATCCTCTCATTGGGCTGTCGGATGAACAGCTGAAATCAAAAACGGAATTCTTAAATCGTAGCTCACTCAAATACCAAATCAAGATTTATTTATCTGCCGGTAGCTCACATTGGTGTATCCAGGATTCTGAGGGAATTCACACATATTTCAACAGTACTTAAAAAGTAGTAACAGTATTTTACAGTTGAAATTCTCATTTACTGCTTTTAAAATATTCAACTTCACTAAAATGCAATCAAGGAAGATAGATAACTCTAACAGCCCTGGTTATATAGAGAAATTAAAAGAGTTGTCTCCCTGCATATACAATGGATTTATAAATGGTTCTCAAAGCTATCATTTATTATTGTTGACAAAACCATGGATTAAGCTTCATTTTACAACTTTGAACTGCTCCTTGCAAAGTTAACTTGAAGTAAAAATTCTCATTCCAAAATAACATCTGCAAGAAATTCTCTAAAACTTTTTTTCAACCAATCTATTTCAAATTTCAGGTCCTAATTCTCATTTTAATTACTAAATTTAACTGCCCAAAGAGAAGGAAATTCCAAACTTGGCAGCAAAGTATAACATACCAGACTAAGGATTTGTGCAGCTTCCTTTGGCAGCCATCTTGGATAGTGTGGTGTGTCGTGTAGAATGGAGTGGAAGAGATCATCCTCATCGTCACCGTGGAAGGGAGATTGCCCAATCATCATCTCGTATAGGAGGACACCGAAGGACCACCAATCAACAGACGCGTTGTATCGCCATCCCTTCAGGATCTGTAAATAAAAATTGTCAACAAATTCAGGATTTCAATCTAACTAACAATTTATGACAAGATTAAACCTGATTTGGTTGTTGAATATCAAATCTCAACTAAAATGAACTAGTACTGTCAAAATTTTTGTTTAAAATTTATTTCAGCTCATAGAAATATGGTTATATGACAGTTAACTATCAACTCAAAAGAAAAACTTGTGTACACTCCATAATTTTTAAAGAAAAGTTGAAATTAGTTACTCTTATGTATGGTTATGTTGAAAATAAATATCTCTTTTGTGAATTATTTTGTTTACCTCCGGAGCAATGTAATCTGGTGTGCCACAGAAAGTCGTCGCCTTGTTATCGTTGAATACAGCCTCTTTGCACATCCCAAAGTCAGCGATTTTGATGTGGCCGTCACGGTCTAGCATGACATTGTCTAATTTCAAATCTCTGTTGAGTAAATAATGCAAAAAGAATGGAAAAAGCAATNGGTGAACATAACTCTGTCTCTATGATGAAGCGGTGAACATAACTCTGTCTCTATGATGAAGCGGTGAACATAACTCTGTCTCTATGATGAAGCGGTGAACATAACTCTGTCTCTATGATGAAGCGGTGAACATAACTCTGTCTCTATGATAAAGCGGTAACCATAACTCTGTCTCTATGATGAAGTGGTGAACATAACTCTGTCTCCATGATGAAGTGGTGAACATAACTCTGTCTCCATGATGAAGCGGTGAACATAACTCTGTCTCTATGATGAAGCGGTGAACATAACTCTGTCTCTATGATGAAGTGGTGAACATAACTCTGTCTCTATGATGAAACGGTGAACATAACTCTGTCTCTATGATGAAGCGGTGAACATAACTCTGTCTCTATGATGAATCAAAGCCCTATTTCAGTGTGCAAAACTCCACCATCTTCAGAGGTACAATTTGTACTCACATACAAAATTTGGTGAAAGTAAGTGACGGGGAACAAACTACCCCAGACAAAGTTACTTTGTGAACAAAGGGCCTTAACTCTGTATATACATGTAGTACATTATTAATTACTTGTAATGGAAACATTTGGAAAATAATTGTAACCATAGCAATGCATTATAATTACAATTTACTCAAGGTCTAGTTTAAAGCAGAAAACCACAACATGGATGTGTGTATTAACACACATCTGGTAATGTAACAAGGTACTTCTGAGGTTTTACTTACTGAGCTCGGGGGATATCAAACTTTCCAGATACTTGTATATGGAACATCAAGTCACCACCATTTAGGTACTCCATAACAAAAAACAGGTGACTCTGTGGAAAAACAGCAATAATTAAAGTTATAGGTGGGAACATCGACAGTTTATTTCTCTACAACATTAAACGAAAGCAAACAAATAAGAAAGACAAAAAGATTGTTTTCCATTGAAGGTATTGTAAGGTGAGGGCTGATATAGATAGGTTATCATGTAGGCAAACAGCTGGAGTATATTTGATTACACTTGAAATATAAGTAGCATCTTAAGCAAGTATATGATAAATAGGTAATATCACATATGTGTGTTTGACTGGCATATCAGATTGCATGTATGGATGTATTTCAGGAGGGCTTTAGCGTGAGAGCAATAAATCTACTCTTGCAGTAATTTGGTGCACTCTGAGGCGTCGGACGAGGACAGAACACAGGTATTGTATAGCTTTTATTACAATGGTTCTGTATATACATATCATAATCTCGTCATTAACATGCATTAATGTTTCATTCACTTCTCAGAAACTTTAACAGAACAACAATGGTGGTGACAACACAGACGGAATAGTGACGTCACACTACCAAAGTGTCCAATCGCTCTAACATATTTGGAGCTGTACTTGTTTCAATTTGTTGATTCGATAAGTTGATAACAAACCGATTAGTTCAAGACAAACATGACTTTTGCTACTGGGGTTAATACACCATTGTCTGTATCGGTATACAATGTAGTAAGGTTTAGCAGGTATATGTTATAAGGTATATTATCGGCCAGGAGTAGAAGTAAGATGTTCCATTATAGAAAGGTGGTGGAAATGACATTTTTTTACAGTAAAGTGATCATTAACTCATTCACCTCTGAAATTTCATAATGAACTTTTCCAAACTTTGAATTGGAAGAGTTCAAATGTGTTTTCAGGGGTGAATAAGTTAACAATGTAGACTTGTTCTCGATTACAATGACCCGAGGTAAAATATATTGAAAAACTCTTACAAGACTGGTATATTAGTTCATTTATCAACATTTTTTGCTAAAGCATAGTTGATAAGGGCAATTGTTTAATCAATACAGTATATGGAAATATTTTATTATCATATTAACACATATGATATGACTAGAAAATGTATATGACATCTATGTACACTCACTTTGATGGAAAAGGAGCAAAATGTGAAGTGTAACCAAAGAAATGGAGCTAATTACAAAAGTCCTACTAAAACAATGGTTTTTGATGCAAAAGTCCTACTAAAGAAATAGTTTTCAATTCAAAAGTCCTACTAAAGAAATAGAGCAAACATTGAAGTGGTTTATATATAATTTCACAAAGTTGCAAAACATTTCCCATGTTATGACAGTCATCTGATTATAACCATTTATATCTTCGAGGTGTCACACCACAGTTCTATAAACCTTGCAGCAGTCTGATGAATCCTTGACAGTTGTCAATAAAAGTGGACATGTGTGGCTAACACCAGGTTCTAGTATGGTTTTGGTCTAAGCTGCTGTGCAAATATTGAACCATAACTCTGAGAAAAACCTTATTTCCTATTCAATAAATCTTGTTATATCATGAGCTAATCTGTGAGCTATCTGTGCTCATGGAAGTCATATTTACAACTCTGCAGCAATAAAACATGATGCTTATCTGAAATCCATCAAAAGACAAACTTGCTTGGACATAGATGGCCAGAAATTGTCCAGAATTAACCAGCAAAGTCACTCAAAGTCACCCTATCAACATACAACTTCCCGTAATGTCAACATTAACGCCCAAATTCAATTTCCGCACCATTATCATAATAATAGTATTTTTCATAAATCAACCATGGGATTTCTCAATGGATAATCACAACTTCAGAACAGAAAATCTCCAGGGTTCTGTACAACAACTATAAAACTAGTACATTACAATAACAACAATAATTCTAAAACTATCAGGGCTAGAATTACTCTGCTATTTACTATTTAGTTCCTTTGTTGTGTGTTTTGTGTTGTTTTGTCAAAGTTTAAAATCGCCTCATTGATGACACATACAATGGAGCACACGAAAAGGCTGAGAAGTTAACACTAAATGTGAGACGGCCCAAGGTATTTCCTCCTGGCTTATGTTTCAAAAGGAAATGCTTTAGATTTACATTTAGGTGGATTTAGTCATAAAATCAAACAAGGAAGAATATTGCAGTATTACTTCTTTGTTATAACAATAGTTTGTGCTTTAAGTTATCTCACTTAGATCCCATAATCCCGTATTTTCTAATTGTTATCAATGATTGTGTAACCACTTCTAAATGTATCATCAAGTACCTTCTCTGAATTATCATTTATAAAAGAGATTTGATAGCGTTTTCTATTGTGAAACTTTTTTAAAATGGAGGTACATGTCACGGGGGTCTGGAAGGTGTTTTTTGAGGTGTATACTTACGGGGGTCTGGAAGGTGCTGTGGAGGTGGGTGAGGTAGGGGTGATTACAACCAAGGGCCAGGACTCGCTTCTCTATCAAAGTACACTCCACATCATCATCCTCCAAAACCACGTCTTTCTTCAGCACCTTGATCGCAAAGAACTTCTTCTGACCTTTCAACTCGGCCAACATGACCTGCCAATCAAAAGAGACAAAATTTTAACAATCAATTAAATAATTAAAATCTTAGTCGTTGGTTTGTCCTTGCTTACACCAGCAAGTGATAAATGTTACATGAAAGAATACAATGTATACAGGAATCAGTGTTAAGGTATGAATGTGTTTTAGAGTGTCACTGAAGATGACATAAAAATGGTATTTTCAGGTAAAAATATAGCAATCGCATCACTATAAAGGTCTGTATGAGACCTGCAATAATTCTGTGCATGTCTGTGGTAGTTACCTTGAATATAACATACATGTGATTTAGTCAATGTTTCCAGCATGCTCACATATTTGCTTTTGTGAACAAATAGGTTTCCATCTATCAGACACTTTGCATATTTGCTTAACACTTATTTGACCTTTGATCTTCGGTTGAAGGTTACAGTGACCTAGTTATAGCATTGCACACTTTCCATGCATGATGGAGATATTGTTCAAGTTTCATCAACATTTCAGCAATTGCTTTAAAATGGATGTACCAGACAATCCTTCAATACACACTTTGCAGTTCTGACCTTTGACCTAGAGGTGAAGGTTATCAACAATTGCAATGTTATGACCATCTTCCTAGGCTGATGTTTCAGGTTTAATCATAATAAAAGTTATCACTTGGACAAGATTTTGCTGGAAAATGTTAACCTTGACCTCATGGTGACGGTCAGTGACCTAATTTCAGTAATAATGTACACCTTTTGCAGGTTAACTCTACAATTCAACAAAACATCTTTAAAAGTTTAGAAGTTATGGCCAAGAAAACCTTTTTTGGGGAATTTTACTTCTTTTCACCTCTGACCTTGAAGCACAGCAACAATTTGTCTCCCATCATTGGAAGAGGAGGAGGACGAGGAGGAGGAGACATAATTATGGGATGGCATCAATATAAATGTTAGCACACATTCAAATTACAGCTGCTGACTGTCATTTGTGAAACATCAGCCATGTACTGATAATTGTTTTCATGTCTGATAATGATTGCAATCTGAGCACCATCCTTAATTCATTAACGCTGACAAAATGATAAGAAATCTTTGATCTGTCTTTGCTAGTGTTAGTTGTTGCCCTCACCATGGATACAGCTGTGAACGATTCCTAGTAATTATTGCCACATAATTAGGACATAGTTAGGAGACGCGTTATACAGCCATTTGGATAATATTATGTTCTACTCATCTAACATGGACCATTACAGAGTAACGTGGACCAATATAGAGTCACATGGACCATTACAGTGTAACATGGACCAATACAGAGTAACGTGGACCAATACAGAGTAACGTGGACCAATACAGAGTAAAGTGGACTAATACAGAGTAACATGGACCAATACAGAGTAACGTGGACCAATACAGAGTAAAGTGGACCATTACAGAGTAACGTGGACCATTACAGAGTAACGTGGACCAATACAGAGTAACACAGAGTAACGTGGACCAATACAGAGTAACGTGGACCAATACAGAGTAACGTGGACCAATACAGAGTAACGTGGACCAATACAGAGTAACGTGGACCAATACAGAGTAACGTGGACCAATACAGAGTAACGTGGACCAATACAGAGTAACGTGGACCAATACAGAGTAACGTGGACCAATACAGAGTAACGTGGACCAATACAGAGTAACGTGGACCAATACAGAGTAACGTGGACCAATACAGAGTAACGTGGACCAATACAGAGTAACGTGGACCAATACAGAGTAACGTGGACCAATACAGAGTAACGTGGACCAATACAGAGTAACGTGGACCAATACAGAGTAACGTGGACCAATACAGAGTAACGTGGACCAATACAGAGTAACGTGGACCAATACAGAGTAACGTGGACCAATACAGAGTAACATGGACCAATACAGAGTAACGTGGACCAATACAGAGTAACGTGGACCAATACAGAGTAACGTGGACCAATACAGAGTAACATGGACCAATACAGAGTAACATGGACCAATACAGAGTAACATGGACCAATACAGAGTAACGTGGACCAATACAGAGGTCTCCCTAACTGTCCCTGTAGTCAGAAATGATGCACTATAAACAGTTGGCAGTTATATAATGCACCTACAACTTGTTACTGGGGTTTTACAGCTAAAATATCACAATTCTTTTTGGAGATTTTAATATTGTATAATTTTTCGTCAATTTCTAAAAAATAAAATATTGAACAATGAAAACTGTTTTTTTCTCTCGATAAGTCAAAAGAGATAAAAGGTCAGATTGCATACTTAAAAAAAAAATCAATTATCATTCTATCATTTTATGTCTGAACTTTCTCTCATTCCATGACACCTAAAATGGTAACAAAAATTTACAGGAAATTCCCTGCAGAAAAGGGCTTTAGCGTGAGAGTGCATTTTTTTTTTTTTATCTTTTTATCTTATTTGTTCTTTTGTGCGTATTTTACTTATTCAAATATTGACAAATAAGTCATTGAATAAATATCGCAGAAATAAGCATTCAGAAAAGTTAAAAGGATGTAGAACATTTCTATACCTTTCCAAAGCTGCCTTTGCCAAGTACTTTGAGGAAGGTGAATTCTGAAGGAGCAAACTTCCTCTTGGGGATGCCAGCCCTGAGGGGAGGGTCCAGTGGAGGGCCACCACTCTTATCCCAGATCTTCTCATAGCTGGGACTGTCTTCATCGGAACTATCCTCAGGAATTAACTGTTATGGGAAAAAAAAGGGAAAAACATTTCGTTCAAATCATCACTGAATATTCTCATGTGACCACATAATCAGTGTCACAGGAAAGCTTGCATAGAATTATTTTTGTAGTAATAATTATGCTGATTTGAACTAAACGTGTTTAACGCAGGAACAATTAGACATGAAAATAGTGTCATAACTTCATTTTGACAATTTCAGCCATGTGATTAAATCAATTTCAACCCTGTATGGAGAAAATTACGATTAGCACTCTCAAGGTCATACAAAGTAAATGACGAAAACACTCTTCTAAACACTTCTGATATACAAATGTAAGTACATGTACAGATCATTACAATACTTTCAAAAACTGAGACAGATTTTGCTACAGTAAATCAAACTTATTGTTCCACAAATGTATATACACTTATACAAACAGCCACAGTAGAGTAGTAGGGATGTATTTGCTCTCTTATCATGATGCAGGTTATTCCTCAAGATTTATCAGGGATATTTTTACCAGGTATGCAAGTTAACCTTGAAAGGAGGATCAATGCTGATTTCAGTAAGAAATTTCACATTCTACCGCATCAACGGTGTAACAACATTTATCATTGGTCAACAATCAAGGATACTGGGCGACAGACCACTCATGTGCCCCCCGACAGACCACACATGTGCCCCCAGACAGACCACACATGTGCCCCCGTAATACACACAGGTGTAAGGCTGTTCCCTAACCCATCACAATTATAACTAAATCTACAGCTGCAAGTTTTCTGACTTCAAGGCTTGCTCTGGCATTAAGCGCAAAATGAGGCGGCGACACATATTGGATCACAGGACACGCTTTTGCAAAGGGTAAAGAACAATGAATTTAAATATTGAATTACCTAGATCTTACCATTTCAGACACCTACAACGCATTTTGTCACATTTTATGTGGTAGAATATATATACATGTAATCAATATATGGTGGAATATTTAACTAAGATTTCGAAATTATTGGGAAAAATAAACACCAGCCTTTCAACATTCTCTATTTATTTTTTCCAACAGTTTCTTATCCTTGTTATATGTTCATATGACTTTATAAGGAGGGGTCCTCAGTAATGTTTGTCTCGAATTCTTGGTATACCAATGATAGTACAAGTAAACATGTTTTGAAACAAAAAGATATTTCGCTTGGATATTTTTTTTGTCCTTCTGAATTTTCCAAAATCAACAATGGATAATTGCATAAGAATATGGGTTTATTTTACATGTAGGCTGCATTCCCATATATTTGTATATTTACATTCCAGGTTATCATACCGTGCTTGCAGGAAAAGATTTGTAAATATTTTTTAATCTAATTAGTAATCATGATGGTGGTACGTATTTGTAAATTCTCAAAATCAAAGGGTTTTGTAATTGTCACAAATATCTTCTATTCACCCTAAAAATATGCCGAGACAAAATAGAAGGCTCATGGTAAGCTATTTGATCGGTTTCTGGTATAAAAATCTAACCAATCACTAGGCTGATACCTGTCCTTTGAATGTTACAGAGGAGCTTCACCCAACTTCAAAGCCTGTTGATTTTACCATCAAGCTGCCATGCCATTCCTTTGATTTATATTCATCAAAGACATCAGACAGGTCTAATACTTATATCATCCTTAAGCCTTCGATTTCGTCAGGACAAATTCCAGGCGAGCAGAGAAGATAGGTGTGTCGAAGGAAACCTTGGGGTTTTGAGGACGATCAATTATGTGCATTGGACTTGTAATTGGTCAAAGAGCATATGGACAAAGACGGGATCATTTTATAGGAACAGTGACTTTGAGAATATAGGGCAGGTTTTCTGTACCCTATCGTAATTAAAAACTCTTTATCTATTGATGTACATAATAATTATCACATAACTAAAAAACAGTAAGTTTTGTGAAAACACACCACACATAATCACATGATTATAAGTCAACAAATCCACTCATAATTAAGAAGAAATATGAAGAATTTAAGATTTTTTAACAAAAAGCCAAAGTTATATGAGAAATCCACACAGTAAAAAAAGAAAAAGATTTATGCTTTAATCAATATTTATCAAACACTTTTATAAAAACACACAAAAGCTTCCTAAACTTTTTCTACCTCTCTCACAGTATTTAAAATAAATATCTTTCTAATAGGAAAAAAAGTATTGCATCTTATTCCATCTTTATTTCTTGTTTCTTTAGAAATGAAACAATTTTCAAAAAAGAAGATTCATCGAAGGGCTAGAAAAGTGTGATCTAGCTTTTATTAGTTGGCATGGCCAGATTAAGATAAGTTTGTGTTACTGAAAGCCAGATCTCTGTGCAAAAGCAGTGTTCCTCCAAATCTAATGAACAATTGTTCTAATATATTAGTTTAAAAAATTCACTTGCCAATCAGAGTATATTGAACGTTGAATTTCAATCAAAAATAAGTTAGTACATTAATCAATTAGCTCTGCTTTAGTGCTCGAGGCCAGAGAGACTTGCACTGGTCAGTTCTGACCGCTACCTTTAGTGCTCGAGGCCAGAGAGACTTGCACTGGTCAGTTCTGACTGCTACCTTTAGTGTGATGTGTAAGATGCTTTGGAGTAAGAATTTCGACATCATAATTGCTGTTAAAACTATATTTAGATATTGTTTAGAAAGTGAATAAAGTACATAAAAAACTGATAAATGCCCTTTAATTACAACACTGAAAGCTGAAAAAAACAGTAAAACACCAAAAATTGCTTGTTTACAATAAAATTATTATTTTGATTTTGTTGAAATTTGACTAAATTAATCATTCAAATTTATTTGGAAAAACAACAATTTCTGTTTTTGTACATTTATTTTTTTAAATCATTACCGTTTTTCTTCTAATAAATTTTGTTTTTCAAACACAGAAGGTGATATGCACAATACATTTCTATCAAATTAAAAAAAAACATTACTATAATGAAATCTTTTCCTTGACTGCTCTTGAGCTAAATAAAATTTCAATAAAAAGTATTCACAGACAAAATCTGACAAATATTCACAAAATTGCCTGGACTATCCCACTCTAGAGGGTTGTGAGGTGTAGAAGGAAAGACAAGCTTTGGTAAACGGCAGAGTTCAGTGAGTGCACTACAGAGAAAATTAAACACCTTGAAGATCCAGATTTAATTGGACTCAATTGCAATACCTTATTATGTTTGTCTCGGTTTGTTCCTTTGCCAGATTTGGGTACCTAGACATAGTACATTTACACAAGAGTCATTACAGTACCTTCAGAATCGTATCGAAGCTCACATGTAGATGGACATAGATTAAAAGGAGGGTTGTCAATATTAAGATATTGATGGGCTAAATTATAAAGTATAAAAAAAAATAATGAATTAAAAAATTAAAACTTTTAAAAGTAAATTTGCTTAAATATATCAAATGTGACTTTTTTGAAAATGTTTTGTTACAGAAAATAGCAATTTTACTATTTCTATATCAAAATATAGATAAAATCTAGGTATCCAATCAGCTGGAGACTGTTAAGATTTGTTTGTTCAATCTTCAGCCCTTTAAATCATTTCTATCGACAATCCAGCTTTAACAGTCACAATTGACTTAAAGATATATATGCTTTGTTACACATTACCACACCATTAAGGTGATGTTAGAGTTATCTCCCATTAGAACCTTTCATAAGCGTTATTGAAAAAGTTTTATAATATAACTTAAATTTATGACAAAAATTCAAATTACCAATCATAAAACAAATTTTACAGATTGTTTTTTCTCTGCAACATTCTTAGGAAAATGATATATATATCCCAGTAAGGTAGCATATATGCTTAGTCCAAATGTTTGAAACTACAACACCCTGAAACATACCATTGAAATGAACTTAAAATCCAATGTTCATAACATGTTGTGAGTCTGTGATCATTAAGTATAGAGCAGCTAGAACACTTTTCTCTTTTTGTGTCATTATAGTGACAAGCATTAGTCTATACATGTGGTGACGTGGTAAGCGTATGATAGAAATCTTTTCTTGCCTTTGTTTTAAAGTGTGAAGTTATCTCATTTAGCCACAATAGTCATGGTAACAAGCAGTTTGATAAAACAGTTTCCATGGATACTGCTTATACAAATATGCTGTTTCCATGGTTTAAGCATTTTCTTTTTATAATTAAAGCTTTAAAGATTACAGAAAGTATAATATCAGGTAGAATTACTGTGGATTCAGTCATTTGAAAATAATACAAATCTGTCTCCATAGTAACAGTCACATGATGAGTGAACACCAATCAAAACTTACATTTGTGGTGGAGTTGCTATTGGGTAATTTAACGGCACCTGGTGTTTTCCGAACTTCTCCGAGAGCTTCTGCAAGAAGTTTCTGATTGACTCCGCATAAATTTGGCATGAATTTCTCACATTTCTTGTGGCAGTTGACTCCACAAACTATCAAAATAAAAACAAGAGTGAAAGTTTAGAGATATTACTGCATGGAATTTCAAGTGTTTACCATGTCGGCCATCTCCAACACAACTGGAATCAACAAATACCTTCCTTTGTGGAATGTGAATGTGGCATCAGATTAGTGTTTGACATTTGTAGAAATTCTTTTAACTTTCCTTGACTTTTCGATAACAGAAACTGTGAGTCTGTAAGTGAATTGGGACCTTAGTATTTCATCCCATTTTAGGTAGCAAATATCATAATTTTTTCGATAAGGACTAATATAATAGCTCATGCTCAAAATCTTCAATTAATCAACTTGATCAGAACAATTGTGATCAATGTTACTCATGAGATAGCCTCTATCTGAAACCCATTAAGTCCTTGACCTTTGACCTACTCACCTCCACACTTGAGGCCTTGTCGGAAAAGGCCATACAGAAGAGTTCCGCAGTGATCACAGAAGGTGGGAGACATGTAGTTATTGACCTTGAACTTGTGTGGGACATTGATATTGAATCTCTCTGACATCATCTGTAAAGTAAAGGAAAATGAGAATTGAATTAGTTATTCATAACATCATTCACACCTGAATAGCTTGCTCAGAGAAGGCATTTTCAGTCGAGACATGGTGATGCCACACAGACTTAAGAAATCACTCAACGGAATTTTACTTTAAAAATAAGCTATTATCTTCCTGAGCTTGATTCTATAATCCTGCAGTGTTTCTCCTGGGTATTTTGGGAACATTCACCAACCTTAATTAGATTGACAATCTTTGACAGGATTTTTAATCCATGTTTTTCAAATGAGTTTGAATTTCTCTAATTTAAATGAAAATCATAAATATTTCACTAATCTGGAAGAAACTTAAGTAATTTAGTTCCAGTGTAAAAAAAAATAAAGAAAATAGTAAAAAATAATAATAATATGGATTTGCAGATGAACAGGTTTGCTGTACTGCTTATAACTGTTGTTGTAATGTTAATTTGGCTTCTTGTTTAAGGTAAAAACAAGGCATGGTATGGTGAACCACCCATGATCCCCAGTGAAAGGTTGTAGCTATTTTGGTATTATTATTCAGATTAAACAATTAAGGAAATAAACATCCTTAGATACATAAGTACAGCAAGTTTGAACAAAGGTGAAATAGCAAGGGAGTTATACTATGGGCAAATAAACAAAGGGCCATAACTCTATATATTGGGGAGCATGAGAACAAATTTCAGTTTGAAAAACTCTACCATATAAGAGATACCTATATACAAGATCTGGCTATAGTAGGTGACAGAACATATGAGATGGGCCCCAGAACTGACATATGTACAGACTAACGGGGAGTACACCATAAGAAGACTAATAAATAGAGGAGATAAAATTCCCTTTCACAAAATATCAAGGAGGTAAAAAATACTGATCCTAAATATATAGGGAGGGAAATTGTAGCCTTGATACCTGTAATGACCTTAACATATAGGGAGGGAAAATGTAGCCTTGATACCTGTAATGACCTTAACATATAGGGAGGGAAAATATAGCCTTGATACCTGTATTGACCTTTTCACTATGACCTTGACACTGACCTTTGTTTCCCGACTGTCCTTGGCACTTCCTGGACACTGTCCAAGAATTTTGTCGTGACATTTTTTGTGGACTGCACAATTACACACTGAAATATACAGGAGAAACATATAAATTATCTAAAATTCATTGTATATTGATATATAAATAATTGTGATAAGGAAGTGCATGCAGCCAAGGAAAGAAGGGCTATGGAGACACTCATGTTTGTGTATCGACAGTAAACTTTTTCATGACACTTGAAAAAGGATTTTGAAGTATGTGTATCCATTATATAAGTTTAAATAAAACACCAGGAAGATATGTGTCCAACTCAAAGGCCTGACAGGAATATTTACAATCCCTGGACTTTGATCCCACAGTAAAATTAAATACCAGGTTGTTGAAGCATTCCGATAAAGACTATAAAAAACTTTAAATTCATGCCATACTTACTTTTGCACTGATAGCCTTGTTTGTTTAAACCCCTGTAAAAAATATAGAAGCCATGTTATACAACCTATAGATTATAAAACAGCCTTGATGTAAAATGAGCTGAACTCAGAAATAATGGTGTTGTTTTCATGTAAGATTTTTATTCTCTTGAAGCTTCTTTGTTACTTTAGTAGTCATGCAGAAAAAGAACAACGATGGACAGTTGATATCAAGACCTCTATTTTCCCTATGTTTTGGTGGAAGCTATCTAATTTAAACAATACTTGTTTCCATAATTGATTTCTACGTAAGCTGTCTGTCCACCGGAGACACTATCAAACCATTTATAATAAAGATTGATTCAATGAATCCCCATGAAAAAATTAACAAGAGATGTCTGTTTGTGATAAAATGTATTTATCAATGATTTACAGTTGTGAATTAAAAGCCATTTGACCAAACATTGTGAACAAGAGGCCTAGAGGGCCTGTATCACTTGTCTGGATCTTAAAGCCATCATGGCTAAATAATCAATCATGGAAGCAGATATGTATCCAAATCTTCTTGCACATGTATATGTTGTTTTATTGTTGGTATCTCAGGAGTTTCCATGTTACAGCTGAGGGACTAAGTACCCAAGGAGGGGAACAGACCACAAGGCCAGTTCTGGTAGCATGATTGTGTTCACCTGTCCATGCGCAGCAATTGTATATCTGTTTAAGGGGGGCCATGTCATGATGCAGGGACTAAGTTACCGAGTGGTGGGAGTGGTATAGGGGGGGGGGGGGGGGGGCAATCCTGGGCCCTGATTTTAACCATTTAAAATCTTCATTCATATAGTATACTAAAGATGAAATATTAAAGCTGCAATTATTCTTAGACAAAAGAAGAAAAGAAGATATTTTTGTAGCTTAATACATATAATGACTTAGGTTAAATTTGACCCAGAGGCCTAATTTTCACACTTCAAAATCTATATTTCTAGGATACGCAATGAATGAGTATCAAAGCTGTGAAATTTCTCTGTTTGAAGAAGAAGAGTTTTGTAGCCGAGAACAGCCATATACTTGGGTGTCACTTTCGTGTGGAATTGCTTCCTGTGTGTCACACTTATTCCTATGGGAAGCAACATTCATGCGGAACCGTTTTTTATTAGAAGTGATGCTGAAGCCATATACAGCTGTGTTTCTGTATACATATCCTTTAATGAAAAATATCAGGAACAGACAAATCAATTTTATTTATGGGATCAATCACTGCTGAGAATATCACAACTGTCATTGGACACAACCAATCAAATTACAGCCGATTGATTTATCTGGATATACAGCCTTCTGATTAATACGCATGACCAACTTAACATTATCACAGCTTTTCAATCGGGACTTTTTTTAAAAATTATTGAAACGTAATTGAAAAACACCAGAAACTAATTTTTTGTGGATAACACAAGTTGAAATGAGCTAGCCTGATATTAAAGTAGGGACCAAGCCAGGAAGCCTATATCGACAGCCCTCTGACAGGTTCAATACCCACTGGTGCTGTATATATAGTGGCCATAACATCAAAAAACAAATATCTCTTCAGATACAATGAACAGTTTGTTGAAAGTTACAACAATTTCCCCTGAAATTTCCAATCAAGGCTTTGGTGTTGTTTTAATTTACATGATATTAGAAATTGACCATATTTTCTGTCAGCTTATAAGCCCTTTTTAAATGTAATGAGTCTGGGTTTATCGATTCAGTTTTTTAATAAGTCATATAAAATTTCCCCAGATACGGTATAAAGGTTGACATCTCGGTATGCAACACCGAGTCTGAAGTCATCAATATCAGGGTTTTAACGTCGGAGTCTGAAGTCATCAATATCAGGGTTTTGACGTCAGAGTCTGAAGTCATCAATATCAGGGTTTTAACGTCGGAGTCTGAAGTCATCAATATCAGGGTTTTGACATCGGAGTCTGAAGTCATCAATATCAGGGTTTTAACGTCTGAGTCTGAAGTCATCAATATCAGGGTTTTGACGTCGGAGTCTGAAGTCATCAATATCAGGGTTTTGACGTCGGAGTCTGAAGTCATCAATATCAGGGTTTTGACGTCGGAGTCTGAAGTCATCAATATCAGGGTTTTAAAGTCGGAGTCTGAAGTCATCAATATCGGGGGTTTAACGGCGTCCGAGTATCATTCCTCTCTTCTTGCACTGCTTAGAATTTGAAGTTTATTGCTGTCTGTTGCTGGCTAACTATTCTTGTTGACAGACTTATAAGCTGCTCTAGATCTTGTATTATTTCCAGAGTTAATTATTTGTGAAGAAGTAAAGTGAAGGCTGACAAAACGATTATAGCTCTAAGGTAGGTGTGAGGTAACCTTAATCATTTTCTACAGTGTAAGTATTTTTCAATAACAATTTCAATTTATTTCAGACTGCAGTTTCTAAGACATTTTAGGTTTTCTCGCTTTTGCTTTGGAGCTTTTAACAGGTTAGTTACTAAATGTGAATTAATTGCTAAATATCCTCAGCTCTATGACATTTAATTCGTATTGTTGATTTTTAATCAACCCACATTGATGATGAAATTGTTCTTAAAATTTCATTCCGAAATGAATCCCGTTAATTTGTCATGAAAAAGTCTTGATATCCATAGCAACAGATATAGAAATACTTGATCATTGTGAGCTAGATCCATTAATAGCACAAACTTTGACTTGACATTGAGTTAAGCTCCGAGGTCAAAGCCAAGGTCAGACGCTATCCGGCTGGATGACAGGGTGATGCCCAGATCACTTTACGGCTGACAAAGAAATGTAAATGTCGAGTCTTTTCCGTTTAACTCAGACATTCCTGCCAATAAGGCTTACTGTGACTGGCAACTTAACCTAGATTTCCAAATGGAATGGTCAGTAGCTGCATGGTCACTCTTTTGAATTATACGCGGAGTGACGGAACCAATAAATATTTCTACAATATCAAAGAAAAATAACAAGTCAAAATTGATTTTCTTTTTCGCGCTCCATATCGTAATTTTGTTCCTCAAGGTCTATTTATTCCACTAATCCAATTGATTCCACTCACCATAGAAACTCATTACAGAAGGAACAGTAGGTAGGTTGACGGAAGAATTTGGCAATGAACTGATGCCCTTTGACCTCATGAACTTTCTGTTGTTTTATGGCACCACGCCGACGTGTGATAGCACCCCCTGTGTTGACCTTATTCGGCTCTGCTAAAGGTGGAACTTGTTCTGTAAAGAAAAGATGAAAATATCTTAATTAACAATTTCTTTGAATTTTTTTTTATCTTAATTACATAAACAAGAGATCCCAGAGGGATCTTGGCGCCCACCTTTGTACCATCTTCATTAGTTCTTTGTCAGTTCGATCTTTTCTCTTTTTTCCTTTAATCTGTTTGATCGAGTCATGTTAACAGTAAATGCACCTTGAAGTAACTTTTGATCTAAACTTAATACTGATGTGTATGAAAGCCAACCTTCAAAGTGAGTTTGTAATTTCAGATATTTACTAGTACAGTACTTAATGTGAAAGAAATAGAATCGAACATTGCAATATGAGAAAGATCTGTTTAGTTCTTCTTTTAATCCATTTTGTTTTTATGATAAGTCTCAAAATATAACAAACACAACGAGGGATCAAGGGGAACCTACATTTAAAATTTGAGAAAGATCCCTCCCGTACTTCCCGAGAAATAGCGATAACAAACTTTCACTATCAAAATCCAAGATGGCTGCCTGTCGGCCATGTTGTTTATCCGATCAGTCTCTAAAATTGCCCTGCACAGCTAAGGACCAAGGGGAACCTACATATAAAATTTGAGAAAGATCCCTCTGGTACTTCTTGAGAAATAGCGATAACAAACTTTCACTATCAAAATCCAAGATGGCTGCCTGTCGGCCATGTTGTTTATCCGATCAGTCTCAAAAGTTGCCCTGCACAGCTAAGGACCAAGGGGAACCTGCATATAAAATTTGAGAAAGATCCCTCTGGTACTTCTTGAGAAATACTGATAACAAGAATTGTTTACGGACGGACGACAGACCACGGACCACGGACCACGAACGCAGGGTGATTTGAATAGCCCACCATCAGATGATGGTGGGCTAAAAAGAAAAATACTACCCATCATTTTTCAATGTTGTATTTAGGATTCACGAAATTTAGATTACAGTTTTATATTTTATCAAATTCAACTTTCTCTTTTCCACCTGCCATCACGGATATCTTTTTCAGGATGAGCCAGCCTGTGGACATCAAAGCTATGTAACGCTTCGTATTAACACCGAGTCAACACATATGAAATAATCCAAGCCTATTTTGTTAACACCACTGCAATATATATGTCAAATCCGATATCAGTAAGGCACATCGCAGACAAGTCACATGATTCCAGATTTTTGGAGCTGTAATTTTTTTATGAAGCCTAATTTGCAGTTAAATTCCCACTGAGTGTTCCCGTAAAGGATTATAGTGTTGGCTAGCCTCCCAAGTCACCAATAGTTTGAGATATTTCGCATCGAATGACGATCATTGTCAACCTCTGGGAATTGTCTGTGATCCAGTAACACACATTATTGTCGTAATTTCTTTCGCTGTCGTAGGACAAATGCGAAATAGCAAAGGTCAGGGAGAGTTTCATGCAGTGATGAACTTATACAACAGGAATGGCAGTCAGCTGACAAGAACCACAAAACATATTTACAACCTTTTAACAATAGACCTGCATACTCTATTAACCACCATTTTTATGAATAAAATGTAACATGGTACCTGAAAATTTCAGACTTATTTATCAATTTTGGTAGAGTGTTTGATATTCCTGCAAAACATGTCTTATTTTTAAGTACAACACTATTATGTATTTAAAGCTCAAGGAAATCTGATTCATATATCAATCAACTGAAAAAAAACCCAAATCACTTGGTATTCCTCCAACAGGTATGTTGTATATCTCTAATATGTATGTTGTATTCCTCTAACAGGTATGTTGTATTCCTCTAACAGGTATGTTGTATTCCTCTAACATGTATGTTGTATTCCTCTAACAGGTATGTTGTATTCCTCTAACAGGTATGTTGTATTCCTCTAATATGTATGTTGTATTCCTTTAACAGGTATGTTGTATTCCTCTAACAGGTATGTTGTATTCCTCTAACAGGTATGTTGTATTCCTCTAACATGTATGTTGTATTCCTCTAACAGGTATGTTGTATTCCTCTAACAGGTATGTTGTATTCCTCTAACAGGTATGTTGTATTCCTCTAACAGGTATGTTGTATTCCTCTAACATGTATGTTGTATTCCTCTAACAGGTATGTTGTATTCCTCTAACAGGTATGTTGTATTCCTCTAACAGGTATGTTGTATTCCTCTAACAGGTATGTTGTATTCCTCTAACAGGTATGTTGTATTCCTCTAACAGGTATGTTGTATTCCTCTAACAGGTATGTTGTATTCCTCTAACAGGTATGTTGTATTCCTCTAACAGGTATGTTGTATTCCTCTAACAGGTATGTTGTATTCCTCTAACAGGTATGTTGTATTCCTCTAACAGGTATGTTGTATTCCTCTAACAGGTATGTTGTATTCCTCTAACAGGTATGTTGTATTCCTCTAACAGGTATGTTGTATTCCTCTAACAGGTATGTTGTATTCCTCTAACAGGTATGTTGTATTCCTCTAACAGGTATGTTGTATTCCTCTAACAGGTATGTTGTATTCCTCTAACAGGTATGTTGTATTCCTCTAACAGGTATGTTGTATTCCTCTAACAGGTATGTTGTATTCCTCTAACAGGTATGTTGTATTCCTCTAACAGGTATGTTGTATTGTTCTAACAGGTATGTTGTATTCCTCTAACATATATGTTGTATTCCTCTAACAGGTATGTTGTATTCCTCGAACAGGTATGTTGTATTCCTCTAATAGGTATGTTTTATTCCTCTAGCATTTATGTTGTATTCCTCTAACAGGTATGTTGTATTGTTCTAACAGGTATGTTGTATTCCTCTAACATATATGTTGTTTTCCTCTAACAGGTATGTTGTATTCCTCTAACATGTATGTTGTATTCCTCTAACATATATGTTGTATTCCTCTAACAGGTATGTTGTATTGTTCTAACAGGTATGTTGTATTCCTCTAACATATATGTTGTTTTCCTCTAACAGGTATGATGTATTCCTCTAACATGTATGTTGTATTCCTCTAATAGGTATGTTGTATTCCTCTAACAGGTATGTTGTATTCCTCTAATAGGTATGTTTTATTCCTCTAGCATTTATGTTGTATTCCTCTAATAGGTATGTTGTATTCCTCTAACAGGTATGTTGTATTCCTTTAACAGGTATGTTGTATTCCTCTAACAGGTATGTTTTATTCCTCTAGCATTGATGTTGTATTCCTCTAACAGGTATGTTGTATTCCTCTAACAGGTATGTTGTATTCCTCTAACAGGTATGTTGTATTCCTCTGAAAATGTCGGTTTTTGTATTACCAGTGATCAAGATGTGATCAATTTTTCGCTATCTGTAATTTATTAAATCAACCTATCTTTCCACCATTATAATGCTGATGTTGACGTACCATTAGTACCAGAACTCGTAAGGTAGCAGCACTGTTTTATACCTACCTTCGTTTTCGGAGAAGTATCTCACTTGTATTTGTAGACGACCCGACGGCTTTAACTCCAGCTGTAAAAAAAAAAATCCTCATTAGACCAAATCATACAGACATGATGTTACAAATGTATTAATATCACTGCTCTGAAATAAACAACAGCTGTTGATGGAGCAATGTATCATGTAGATGTATATTTTAAGTTTGATTGCATTTGATTGCAATGTATTACATAATGGTTATGATCACTGCACTGTAAATTGTCTAAAATCTAAGGTGAGCTGTTTTTGGATGCAAGTTTATTCGGCATGTATTTTAGGCCAAAACTATGAGGACAATAATCTTTACAGTGAGTTGAAGTGTATCGTGATGAAATTATGAATATCAAGTTATATTTCATTGATGTATATCTGTCCAATACCTGGAAGTAATTTCTTATTGTTCTATTGCCCCTAACGCCTTCACAACTAATTGAATTAGGATAACAACGTCTGTACACGAATTTTCTCTACCAGCCAATTTCGGTAGTGTTTTTATTATCTGACATAGAGCACCCAACAATGAAATTAACTAAATAACGATGGAAGTACGGAGCTTTATATGATACACCACGATTGGCGCTCCCTTTTATAGTAGGCAATCCAGAGCGGAGTTAGCCAGGCGACTTGGAATCAATACCAGAATTATAACTGTGGATCTCTAAATCAACTTTAGTTTAGTTCATTGGATTAGCCGTGTGATACCAAGCATAGGATACTAGGTTCTCTAGCCGGTTGTATCGCAGACAGCTAAACACTTTGACATTTGGTTAGATCAGAGCAGAAGATATCATTTGCCTTATATTTCTAGGAATTTTTATTTTAATTAACACTTGATTCTTCCTAGTGCTGTATTGCTGATATCACAACAATTATTTTTCGACCAAGCAGAGAAAAGCTTTGATCGCTCGGGATTTTCAGAAGTGTAATTTCATCTCTAGCATTGTGTTCAGAGATAGAGAGCAACTTTTGTGAGTGTGATAATATTTGAGACACAATCACACAGTTCAGTGAAATAGGAGACTTTATAACCTGTTCTTGGTGAACTGTTACAATTTTTTTCTATTTTTTTTCATTTTCAAGAATATTGGAATTGTGTTATAATAAATTGGTTTCAATTTTTGTCACATAACTGCAGCTAAACCCATCAGATATTGAAACTATCAGACTTGTGGTACATAATTTTCAAGATAATGCTGTCTGTATGAAGACCATGATCATGTGAAGATAACACACGACGTCTGGCACACAATGGGATAGTCGATCCTTTGTTCTAGTTAAGCCCTGATTTGATGAATCAAACTTTTATAATTTGACAGATTTCTGGGTGTTAATATCACGAGAACATGTCTGCGCCCACCCAGCTGTCTATCTCACAGAATTGCTAAAGGTGCCACTATATAACTGTGATATTTGACTGCGACAGCTAAAGGCTTTATTTCGCCACTAAAATATTTGACTGCGACAGCTAAAGGCGCCACTAACTGTGATATTTGACTGCGACAGCTAAAAGCGCCACTAACTGTGATATTTGACTGCGACAGCTAAAGGTGCCACTAACTGTGATATTTTACTGCGACACCAGGGAGGGACATCCATAAGCAACGTGGTTAGAAATAGTCTGATGGGTCAAAGAGTTCTTTATACAATAATATTTTTTTCAAATAATATATTTTTGTAATAATAAGTTACATGCTGCCTAAATTTGAGATTTCAACTGCTTTTTAGCAAACTAATCAGGAATAAGTCATAATTTAATGAAAACAGTTGATGCCTCCAGAAAAAAATCTTCTATCAGAAAACAATATGAATCTAAGAGTATATTCTGGCCTCCAGATAAGGGGTTTGTTTGTCTAGACTAGGCTAGTACTAGATCATGACAATCCACGGCCAGACATCACTAATTTGGTTGTCCCGTTATCCAGAATGTTTTCGGGAATACATGAATTACTCCTTTTTTCCCCTAAATCAAATAAATAGTGCAGCAATCTGGATCGTTCTCTATAAAAAAAACTTAACTGAAATGAAAGTGGCTAAATTAGAATTATATCAGATTCACACACAAAAAAGATAGAATCATATGTCAAAATCAACTTAGATCCATGACTAAGAAAGGATGTTCAAGATAATAAGCTGATTGAGAAAGCATTACAGTAATCTTCAGAAAAACAAGTTGTAATTTAATGAGCAATTTGAAGTATAACCGGGTAAACTCGTCACATTTTATTCTGATGGGAGTGTCATTCGTTCTATTTACTCTGAAATCTCACAGTTATATAAGGAAGGGTCAAGGCTGTTGTCCATCATGTGCAGACAACGGTCAATCGGTCAGTGCCTAGTAACCGTTAGGAGCTGTAATTAATACGAGCTGACAATAGAGTGCTAAAGATATTGGGCTTACCCAGAAACAATTAATCGTGCTTTATTGTTAACAGAAACCTATCTATCAATGCACCGACCAGAAATCTTCAAATGGTCTCAAAGGAAAGTTATTTTATAAAAAAAAAAAAAAAAAATGTATTATCTCAATAAGTGAAGTAATGCTAGCATTTACCAATGTCATTAAATGATGTGTTAGCGTGGCTGTTCTAGTGAAGGTGAAAAATATTCATCCCACACAAACAAGTTTAATGTCCATTCATATATCTTATAGCTAGTGAGGTGTTTCACAATTAACACAAGATTTAATAAAGAACTTGATTTAAATCTTTCTGTTTCAAAGAGCCATGTACCTATGATTTGAACTGTTTTTGACTAAAAATTAATAATCATAACATAAATCTGCTTGAAATCAAATTGTTCTTACTTGATTCAAATATCCATGCAAGCTACTAAAAGAATTTGTAAAGAGCAAAAATGCACATGAATGACTATTATTTCAAATGTAATATTTACTTTTAGGAATTTACAAATATAACATTATAATTTATGACAGATGATTACCAACAATGTATGACTTAAAAGGATATTTTTTGTCGAATGATTGACCATATTGCAAATGAACTTTTATCTATTGCCTAGCTCAGATACTGGAAATGACATTTTCTACTGAACTTTTTGAACTCTTCAGAAGCGTTGGTAAATATGAAAGATGATGGTTCTCCTGAGAGTACTCCCCATGGCAAACATCACATTTAAGTTTTAGATAAGCTGTCAGAAGGGGTAATTCGGACAAGTTGACGTAAAACTCATCATCAAACAAACAGGACTTCACTAGAACCTTCTGGACACATTACAGCAAAGGACTGAAATCATGGTATTGTCAAACAAGAAACAAGACAAAAGCTTAGGAATTACAAGTGAACATCTTTGAAAACCTTTCAAGAAAAAAAGTTCAGAATAACTGTGTTTACCCAGACTGTAGCTATGTTGCCGTCATTGCATTTCTCTGCTAGAGCCTGTGAGGAGAGGGTGACCTCAGCAAGCAGCCGATTGGGTCTTTCCATGACGATCATGTTTATGACTCGCCCCTCGTACAGATGGGCATCGAAGCACGTATTCCACTCTGGATAAATCGTTCTCTTCTTCTGTACAAGTTGTGTTCCTCGACCTTAACACGAACATAAATCACTGTAAAGTCGACTTGACAACTCAAAATTTAAACAGTAAACATTCAATGTTTCTTTTTTAGCATACACAATTGACACATTTACATCACTATATAGACATACTAAATCCCGAATTGGATCAGGAAATGATAATGATGTCATTAGAATTGTGACATCACAATCACGATGTTGCTGATGCTGGGAATTAATGAAAATCAACATTAAGTTCAAATCAAGTATACATACTGTATACAATATCATAATATCTGGTCAGTGGTATCTAGAGTAACCATGTCGAAGTGATGATGTCATGATAAGGTTAAAGTCAAACACCGCCAATGACATTTTATAGTAACCTTAAAATCACTATTTTTTTTTTTATTTTTTTTTAAATTTCGTTGAGTTTGTGGGTGACCTTCATCCATGAATTCATAGGTCCACAAAGGAATTACAAGTTTGACATAAAGTTATTATCTGTATGAGTGGGTACTCATAATCCATGAATTCATGTACCCACGGAATCAATGGTGTTCTGTGGGGAAACCACAAAATTTGGGTACCACGAAAATATCGGATTTCACAGTATATAGTGGAATCACTAGGCAGTAGCACAAACGTTAATTTATTTTGACATTGTGTATTTTACAACATTTAGTCTCATGTACATGTATGACATATTGCTATTAACAAAAACAAAATGAATATACAGACAAATTATTTGGAATATGTAATTATTCTCCCCATCAAGTGTTGATACAGCCGCGTTGGATGCACTAAATGTATCCAGTCTGTCTACAGATCAACAACAACCAGACAGCCTATAGCCAGTCACAATACTGTCACCTAATTGTCAATCAAATGAATATTTTAGATGGTTTAGTCTGAATTAGTCACCAGTAATTTCCCCCGACTTTTTCTGTCTCATTTGTTTCCAAAACACCCACAGAAGGACTGAACCAATCACATAAGAGCAAATGATACACTAATCTATCACTGATGGTGTCCAATCTACGGCCAAAGCATGGAGTATATATACAATGGAGATGTTAAACCACAACACTTAGTCTACCTCTGATAAACCAAGTGACCCTAAACCCTGCCAGGAAACTCATGAAAATGCTTGTATGATTAAATATCAACTTATCTTTATATTTGAAACATATTAAGTGTCATTAAGCAATGTTTATATGATCATGTTTTTTTGTTTTATGAAAACAGAATTTATTTAATCATGTCTACACCCACACATGCAATAAAATGAACATGTACATTGTAACTGCTGACTTAGTCATTTGTCATTATCATTTTTGCTATCTTATGTGTTATAATTTAATTCCATAAGGTTGAACACGTGTGATTTATGTTTGATGAGGAAAGCTTTTAATTCTTTGCCCTTTTTCAACCGGTTTATTGTTGGATAATTTAATTTTCTTTCCACTTTGCAGTCAGTTAGGTACCAGTTTGCCAGTGTGGTATCGTCATATATAATTTAGTTTAGCAGCATTAGTTACCTATAGATGTACATCCTTGAGTCCACCCAGTGACACAAATGTATATGTCGGCATATAGCACTGAGATAGACAGGTGTCCTTCTAGGGAAACCTTCCTCTCAGTCACATATTGGTACACTGAAATACCACAGATATAAGTATACAGCAAGGTTTCTAAAGGTCAAATGTCACCTGTAAACGAAGAACAATAAAAACAGGTACCGACCTGGTGTGTTAACGGACTCTTTCACGTTGATCGCCACATAGGGGTCAAACAGGTCGCCGGCATTCGAATCCATCAAGGCACCCTTCTCCACCTCTAGGAGTTTCACTCGTATAAAACCAATCTTGGCCATTTTGTCGTTCTGTGGTTGCTATGGCTACAGATCACTTCCTCCCCTGGTCATACACCTTGCTGAAACACAGGAAATATATAATATTGCAGTCTTTGAAATCCTCAACTCTGACATTTTGCTTTGTAATTTGAAATTTGTACATACCCAACCAGACCAGTATACCATTAAATAGTTATTGACAAAAATCATTTGCAGCAGAGAAATGTACAATTTAGTTTTCATTACAATAGATATGACTAGCAAAGGGATAGAGAATGTTCAATATGACAGTCAAGACAATCTGCTTTCTCAAAGACAAAAAAAGTCCATTCTAAAAATATATCTAAAGGCTTGCTGAGATACTGTCACCAAGCGTATGATAGCTATATGCTTCTGACGAGATAAGTGATCTGTCTCTACATCCAGGCTGACATATCAAATGTTTCCATTAGGCCTTCAGGAAAATTATTTATTCATTTTTTATATCATGATTTTGTTAATATTTTTCATATTTGGACCCCCCCCCCTCCTCCCGACCTCCAACTCATTTCATCTGAATTTCCACTCCATCCCTCCATTTTTTTTTTATCAAATTTCATCCAGTTGAAATTTCAGTAAGGTAGAATGTTAACTTTACGAATCTGTCGAAAGATTTTTTTTTTTTTTTAAATATGGAAGTTAAGTTATAACCCTTTCACCTCTATGTAACTTTAGTAGACTCTACCATGCATTGATCTGGATGAGTCCATTATGGTCTATAGTGTTGAAAGGGTTAAAGGCAGGTTAAAGGCAGTTTAAAACCGAAGAATTATTCTGAGCCTTTTTATGCAGACATTCAAATTACACAGGCAAATTGTTCTGTGAATGTGAAGCCTGACTTCAGCTGTATTTTGTGAAGTAACTTCAGTGTAATGTTTAAAACGTTTTTACACCATAACACTATAGCTTTACCCATGTGGTTAAGTAATTCTTTAACAAGGTGTGGGTTGATAGGTAGCTAGGCTTGTTAAAGCCATATAAACTCCACTCAAACGGTATAATTGGTTATTAGAATGGTGTAATTGACTATTTGAATTTGGTAACTGATGATGTGCATTATCTGTATTATATATTCATCCCCAGCTGAAAGTGAGCTCCATTTCTGTGTCACCCTGGAGAATTGTGCCAACCCCACCCACTAGTGAAGTACTGTAATGCTGAACATACTATCGGGTAGAGAAAGTTCTTATAAATATAAACTTTATTTGTTTTACAACAATTCTGAAACCAGTTATTTCACCTTAAATTAATCATTCATGTTGGTCTGGATGTTAGTGTGCTGGGGTTTTTAGTGAGAGAGGAAACCGGAGTACCCGGAGAAAACCCATGTGGTCGGGCAGGTGACTCCATACCTTTCCACGTCTGATTGGGGAATCAAACCCCAGCCATCTTGGTGAAAGACAAGTCAAGTGCGCCATCAAATGCACCACGTGACTATATCCTTAAAAACATCATACAGGTTAACATATAGTCAACACATTATCTCCTGGTGTTTATATCCAAATACATCGGTCAAAGGTCAATCACTATATGCCAGCATGTAGACATATGCTGACTTTGGCATAAAGGTATATTATCAGTATCGATGGCTGTGCAAGGTCAAAGGTCACATTCTCCACTTTTAGCAGAAAATATGCAAAGGGTTCAGGACATAAAATTCTATTTTTTATGTACTGTCTTATAGTTTATTCTCAAGCTTCGACCAAAACACTTGAAACCATATAATTCAGCATCACCTTGCCAAGCATTACATGGTACTAAAATGTGGCAGTGCAATTTGTAACTTGATGCTGGTGGAACGTATCAGGCTAAACCGGAATTCCTTCCAAAACCTTTCAACTCTTGAATAAGCACCTCATTACTGATCATGAGCTATCTAGATTTGTCACTGGCAGTCAACTTGTCTGGATCAACTTCAAGATCAGCTGCATATATTTTGAAATATTTTGAATGTAAAGACGATTCTGCTGTATTGAACATGAAATGTTCGAGCTTACACATTTGAAATCTTTAATCAAATCAATTAGAAGCTTGCTAATCATTTGATCAGGATCTCTCAGAAGCTTAGATAGTGTATGATGTCTTAGTTTGTCTGTTTAACGCATCATGTCATTACATCTATAAAGCTATTTAACTGCATGATGTAACTTAACATACAATTATTGTTGAAAGGAAAAATCTCAACAATAAAACCCCAATGAAATACTACAAAACTATTTTGCATTAAAAACTTGTCACCCCATCTCAATTTGACCTTGAAAAAGCAAACTTTGGTCGTCTTTGGTTGTTGGTGGTTTATCATGGTATCCCTAGAGAACTTCTGTAGTGATGTCAGTGCTCTGAGTCACATAAATGTCAAAGGTTTAGGTATATAATATATATACCACAGAAACGTAAACTATCCGGTACCCAGCTAGAAGACATAAGCTGCGTCACAACATGTACATATCTAATGTGATCTTATCAGAGTCAGGACATGAATACTTACATTCTGGCATAAAATTATATGCTCGTAGGGTTTAATTTATCAGCATGGACAAAAAGTTATGGTTGAAGAGTAGCATACACCATGATTGTGTAACAACCATCCAAGAAATTGCATGTAAAGCAAAATTCTACGCACCCTCGAACAAAAACGAGTGAAAACTGTGCGCTGCTCCAGTATTACAACCCTCAACAAATGTTTACAAAAGCAGGTATTTTTAAACAGATTTAAAACTTCTCAATAATGTGTATACATATACAAAGCACACCCTCATGTGGAGGAATTATATTCTGAGTCATTCAAATGTTCAATTTCGAGCTATTTAAATTCTTACAGTGAATGTATTAGCTCCAATTTTCTAGAAAATTTAAACCTGAGTCATATCTCAATGTTTAAAAATACAGGATCTAATCGCTATCGCCAAAAGGAAGTAATACAAAACTAAAATAAAACCAGGAAAAAACATTACAAATGACATATTCATGTAAGTTAATGCATCCCCTGAGAGACAGAGGCATGTAAAGAAGGTATTGCAGGTAACACATTTCTAAGGGAAATCACACAAGGCCTGTCAGTGCACTCATCAAGTATTTCAGCATAATTTATTTACAAAGATATTAACACTTTCCTCAGAATCTGAAGATGGATAGGTATTTTTGGATTCTTATCTTGATACAAGCTCTGTGAACCTAAGTAGGGCAAGACCTAAAATAAAATTAAAAATTAAAAAAAATGGAAAACTTGTAGTTTCTATGTTAACCCTTTCACCCCTAGGTAACTTTAGAAGACTCTACCATACATTGATCTGGATTGGTCCATTATAGTCTACAGTGGTGAAAGAGTTAACAAAGCTTGCTCCATTTAAAGGTGGGAGGGTGTTGGAGGTTGGGGGAGCTAGATCAAGGCTAATCATTTAAAGGCTACAGATTGGGGTTGAGATGTGACTCCCAGAAACATCTCGGTACACATGCATTCAATCTTCCTCGATGTGACATAAATACTTCGCTAGCCTTCCTGTGTAAGAAGATACACAGAAATAGCCTCAAAAAGAACGCTGTCACCGGTACAACAAAGATGCACATAAAATTATGCAACACACCTGAACAAACCTTGTGCCCGAGTTTGAAGGTGGGAAGGTAGAACGACTGTTTAGCTGATGATGTTAACTGTTTACACAGCTAGACTGCTGTTTGGCAGACAGCTACACAGCAGTACGTTGTCTGATAGCGGTTGGCATCATTGTATATATATATATACATGTATTTTTTACAAATATTTCCTCCCTACAAACTGGACTTATAGCTGCACAACTGATGGCCTATATCACCATATCCACAATCTCCTACAATAATGTTATACATGTATATAAAAATATTCCGAAAAATAAGAGGAAACACATAGGTATCTCTGCTAAAATTACATGAAGGGAGTTATACTATTTAAGGGAATCATGAATGAAGTTGATAATATTTAAGGGATTCATGAATAAAGTTGATACTATTTAAGGGAATCATGAATGAAGTTGATTATCAATCCATCTGGTGTGATTAATAAATAACAATGATTAAAAAATAACAATGGATCAGATTGGTTAAAAAAAACAATCTGATCCATTGTTATTTTTTAACCAATCTGATCCATTGTTATTTTGTTGGAAGATATATCTCCAATACAAGCTCCCTGTCTACAGCCCAGTTTATCAATAAAAGGGGAATATCTCAGAAGTCAGAATTCTTACATGATAATTGTCTCATCCTTAGGCTATTTATGCAAAGAAAACAAATTGAAAAACGAATGTTGGATAATGAAAAATGGTCCTGACAGTTAAAAGACACTTTAGCCTGAAGATTTTGTTTGCAATTGAAAAGAAGTTGTTATGGATAATAATGGATCATTGATTTCACATAAGATGTTTACTTGACAAGTGCTGAATTTCAGAAAATACATCATTTTTGGCAGTTTATAAAGCAGTAATATGTTGGGATGTTGTCCACAAACCTGCTAAAGATACCTCAGGCTACATATGGACATTTATCAGGGAGCATATTTATAATCAGAATTAATTGATAATCCCCTACCTGGTCATATTCTTAACTGACAGCATGTGACAGGCTAACCGGAAGTGCGGCCCAGGAGACGCCACTCGAAATAAGAGCAGAGACATAAAACGACAAAGAGAGATGGACCAAGTGAAAACCAGAGCAGAGAGATAAAATAATGAAGAGAGAGGTACCAAGTGGAAGCCAGAGCAGAGAGATAAAATGATGAAGAGAGAGGTACCAAGTGGAAACCAGAGCAGAGACATAAAACGACAAAGAGAGAATTACCAAGTGTCGTAATAAGGAGCAGCAGATCAATTCTGGTTTCTCTATGTCCAAAAGTGTAGGACACAAAGAAAAACTGTGGATCTGTAGGGTCTCAGATTAGTTGCCCCAAACAATGTGACCGTGGGACACAGCAAGTACTGTACACTGGGAAATGTTTGCTGCAGTTTAATTTTCACCTTTTTTGCCCTCTGTGTAATGAGGGTTAACTTATCATTGCAGCCAACATTAG